TTAGGTCAAAAGTTAGAGGGGGGGGAGGGGACTTTTCGAACACCCTGTATAAAACATTTCTTAAAAAAATACAACCAATCATTTTTTTAAACAAACTCATTGCGGTAGACGCATGAGGCGGACAGCCGATCGCCAGTAACTTGGAATTTTCAGACAACGTGCGTTAAAATCCAGAAAACTGGGAGTCTCAATATAGAGGGAAAGCTCATTCGAGCACAATTATTCGTCATCATTAAAATTATTATTATTATGGTAATAATTAAACTTGCACCAAACAGCGCATCTATAAGGGAAAATTGCGCTCGATTGAGGCTTTAGTCTCGCTGTAGGTTTTAACCCTGGTGTGATTTGTACCCTATTCACATAAATCGATCCATCCTGGAGACGTGCGTTGATTTTCCTGATATGTGTCTCTAAGGTGTATAGCTACGGATTTATACTGCCGTGCTAAGGAAGAACGCCGTATGAGCTTTCAGACGTTGCCAAATTCCCTTTGATAAAACACTAATTTCCTGGTAGACTTATGAATATTTTCCTTCCAATTTTTCAGATGATTTTGTTCGCAATTTTACCTGAAGTTCCTGAAACTTTCAAAGATAAATATTCATAACCTTCCGCAGAAATAAACATTTCATCGAAGGAAATTTGGCAACTCTCGAATGTTCATACGGCGTTCTTCCTTAGCAGGGCAGTATAAATGGCAGTATCTCTGCTAAACGAGTCTATTGACGAGTGGGGAAGGTGGGTTGTGCCCTGAAAAGCTAGATAAGAAACTATGTAAAAATGGGCGTGATTCTATTTGGGGAAATGATAAAGCGGGATTTTACATTCTGCCAAACGGAACGAAGCGAAGCGCCAACTGTGCGAGGCACTCATGAGTCGTGGGCATGGCAAAAGTGTGTTGTTGTCAGGGCTCATGAGTTAAAGATTCTCGACCGTGTGCCTCCTCGTCGCGTCGTCCCCGCTGACGTCACTGGCGCTATATAATGGTGACGTTGCATGGTGGCAACGATCACGGTGTCAACAAACCAAAAATCTGATCATGGAGTCAACGATTGTTGACGTCTTGCTCAGGCGGTAAAACGCAAAAATGGGCCCTGAGCATGGTGTCAACGATCACGGTGTCAACAAACAGGAAAATATCTTTCTTATGAGTAAAATTAATAAAATTAAGTGTATAGGAGAGGTCTGGGTCACGTATAGTTGGATTAGGTTAGTTTAGGTCAGGACATTTACGGTTAGATTAGGTAATTAGATTAGGTTAGGGATTAGATACGGTTAGGTAAGGTTAATGTTATGTAGGGTAAGGTCGGGGAAAGTTAAGCTCTGTGAAAAAGGGCTAGGTCTTGTAAGGTGAAGTTGGGTAAGGTTAGGTAAAATTGGGTAAGGTTAGGTTAGGTTAGGTTAGGTTAGAGTAAATAACAAAAGAAAAACATGACTTGAAATTTGAAAGATGTTATGGAGGCAAGTTTAAAGTTTCGTTGACGTCGTGATCGTTGACACCGTGATCATTTTTCATAAGAGTCAGAATTTGTTATTTTTGGATGATCATGGTGTTAAAGAAAACTTAGAAAAACTGTTTGTTGACACCATCGTTGACACCATGCTACGTAATCTGTATAGTTCCCATTCATTTTTACTGCCCCCCCACTAACAAGTAGACCCCTTCTTTTCCACCTGTCTCTGGTTCAATTCAGCAAAAACACGTCCACATAATCTAAGGTTCTATGGAGCTATTCTAATCTCAGCATTGATTGTATAAGGAATAAATTTAATTTTTATCACCTGTGTTGTATTTTTACATTAAATCCAGAAGCAGGGAAAAGCATGAGTACTACACGATGGTCCATATCTCTAAGATCATCCGTGGGTTTTTCATCAGTTGAGAATTTATACCTCAACAATGTGCTGGCGACCAAGAACTTCATTGATCTCATTGCGTACTTGTTTCCTGAAAAAGATCGATAAGCATTATGTCAATGATGATCAAAGCAGTGGCGTGGCGTGATTTGCGATGTATTGATTGATTTGTCATTTAAACTTTTGAAAAAGGATCGAAAAACAGGGTTTTCCCGAAAAACACCTTCATAATCGACCTTTTACCATAGCTTTAAACGGGGAAAATATCAATGATAGATCATTCACGCTTCATCACTGGATCAAAAGGTATTTATGTTCATTATTGGTAGCTTAAAATGATATTACATGGGAGAGATTTTGAAATACAGAGCAATCTGTATTTAAACTTTAAACAAAGAACCTATTTAGAGAATAGTATGAGGATCAGAGCTGCAGTTCGGAAGCTGTTTCAGGGAAAATTTTAATCTGAAAGGCAGCCACGAGGAGAGGAAGAGGCGGTAAAAAAGACATGACTTGGTGTCGAGAAGATAGAAGGTCTTCCCCAAAGTTCTTTTACCGAAAAACTTGCTCATGCCATGTGAGCTCGCTGCTAATAAAATTTGGGTTCATGAAATTATGTATCAACTGGAGTGGGACCTAGTGGTTACGCGGCCGCCAACCACTGAGAAAGCTACACGTAAAAAATAATGGGATAACACCACGTTCAAGTTATTTAAGAGATGAATGGATTCAAAAGCTGACGGGTGCATCCGGAAGAAAGCATATTCGTCTCTGATTGCAACGGTGTGTACCACAGTGGAGAAAAAAACACATTGGATCTAGAGTCCAGACTCTTAAAAACATCGACAAGAAAAAGTACTCTTGATTCAATCAGAATCGAGCTTAAATCAAGAGCTAAGCCTCTTAATTTAAGCGGATTTTGTTTAAATTCAAGCAAAAATCCGATTGAATCAAGAGAATTTTTTCTTGTCAATGTTTTCAAGAGTCTGCGGACTCTAGATCCAATGTGTTTTTTTTCCAGTGCATTTGTTGTTTTATTTTTGTACGCTGTTCTTAAAACGCTGCACACATTTTTCCCACGAATTTTCCTAAATGATCTCAAATGTAAGCATCGAAAATTTGACGCGAAATTTTCTTTCATTCTATTTTCTTTTCATGTAACAAAACAAAAAAAATTAAATATTCTCCGAGGTTCTGAATCGTTACAACGAGGACACATATTTTCCCTTTACTTATGGTAAAAACCGGAGTAGAGGGGCTAGAATAAAGACACGTAATCCTAGTTTAACGGCGATTTTAGCGTCGCGCGAGCCAAGGAAGGGAACTCAGTCGAGTGTCGTGACAGATATTCACAATGTGATGCGCCTTTCAATATACTTAGCGGCAATGTGCCTATACCCGCGGTCGAGTGGTTATCGCGAATAACTCTCGCATTGCGTTTGGTGCAATGCGAGAAGTATTCATGCAGTCTTGTAGGCGCTAATATGCGTTTGATGCCGACCGCACTGTTTGGCGCAATGCGTAAAGTATTCCTACAATCTTGCAGGCGCTGATATGAGTTTGACACCGACCGCACCGAGTTCGGTGCGATTATTCGAACTCGCATTGGGATAATGGTGGCATCGAAAAATGGAGCTTAAAAGGCCCATGATGCGTTTCGACGTCGTATGAGCAGTCCAACGTATCTCCCGTTTCTCCCGATAAAACATTTTTTTGCGGAAAGTTAGAAAATTTTTCTATGTTCGCTTTCTTAGATTGAATGGACCATTAAACAAGTTAAGAATTTAAGTATACTCTGATACATGATTCTTCGACAGAACTTCATGAGGAACACGACTCGCGCAACGAAAAACGAAAACTACTGAAATCAACTTCTAGCTAAGCTATTAACGTTTTTATTGTCCATTGGTTACAGAAACTGAATTCAAAGTGTGTACAGGTTGAGCTTAGCATCAATATTGATGTTGCCGTATTCTCATATTACTATGAGACTGTCATAGTGACGTTTGGCGTGCAATTTATCCCTAGTAAATTATTCTTTCTTCCATGAGTAGGAGGTTGAATTTATTCATAAAATACGTAATTACCACGATTAGGATTTAATGTAGGGTTAGGATATCCTCGTTGCCCATTGGTGTTTACATGATGATAGCCTGCAATCATCGGATCGAGAGATCGTGGAAATTTTTCAGGTTTTGGTTTAATCATTTTTTTTTTCAATTTTTTTAAATGAGAAAAAAGCTAACTTTATTGCTTAAAATATATATTGAATATACTGCCGAACACTGAAAAAAAAATCTCGGTGTATTTACTAAGAAAAGGGTAAAATTACCATTATTACCAAGAATTCAGGGTTCTATTGGATCCCAGTTTTTTTCTTGGTAAAATTACCATTTATGGAATTGGTAATTTTACTGGACCTTGGTAAAAACGCCAATATTCTTTATCGACTGTGGTAGTATTACCGAGATAAAATGGCAAAGTTTCCGGGAATTTACTACCAATAAAAGTAATATTCTTACCTAAAAAAAACAGCAAAAATACCGATTTTTAGGTAAGCTTACCAGTCATGTCTTGGTAAAATTACCAATAATTGGTAAAAAAAAAAAAGTGAGATGGTAAAGGTACCAACGGACCTTAGTAAAAACACCGATAATTTTTTTTCAGTGAAGGAGAAGAAAATGTATGATAATTTTAAATAAATTGCGTTGAGTGTGGCGGGGAGTCTGCTTCTGCAACGTCGCAAAAATAGATCCGTGGCTTCGCACTTTGATTTTGGCTAACTGCCTCCACAAAGAAAATGTTTGACTTGCAAGAAACAAACCAGGTGTTCGTAACTCAAAAATAAAGAGCCGATGCTTAGAAACAAAATACCTGGACAGACTCTGGGTCCAATTAGGAATGGGATGAATGCGCCTTTAGGTCTGGATTTTTCATTTTCGGGTGAAAAGTGCTCCGGATAAAACTTCCCGGGTCTCTGCCAGTACTTTGAATCGTGGTGAAGCTCGTGGAGGTCAATAAAAAGGTTCATTCCTGCTGGTATAGTCATCTTATCTACAAACCAAAGGCAAAGAGAGTTTGATAAAATCTACTGGAAGGACATTGCCTCATTTTAAAGGGGAATGGACCACTAGACAAGGTACAAATTTAAGCTATGTGATACATGTTTCTTAACCACATTTTCACGTAGAACACAATTAGCGCAACGAACATCGCTGAAACTAACTCCTAACGAAGATATCAGAGTTTTATTTTTACATTGGTTACGAGGAATTTGAACTGCCCGTTCACAAGAAACTCAAAGCTCTACGTGAGTCAAATCGCGCACTACAACGGTTTCAGCAAGCTTCTCAATCGAGCAACGTTCATTTCCCACCATGCGTTGTTCAAACTATAAGCGATTTTCTAAAACTGAGCCGAAGCGTCAAGATCGACATTGCCAGATTTTTATATCGCAAAGATTGTCATGATAACGTTTAGCGCGCGATGTGAATCACGTAGAGCATTGAGTTTTCATGAGCGGGTGGTTTGAATTTACGCACCAAGAATCATTAAATGTTTTCGTAAAAAGTTAATTTTGGTAAATTTCGTTGTGCACATCGTGTTCTACGTGAAATTTTGGTTAAGAAACATGTAACAGAATGCTGAAATTCGTACCTTGTCTAGTGGTCCATTTTATTAAAATAAGTCTCGTAAACTCCAAAGAGGTGTATACATATTTATTACTGAAAAAAATATCTCTGTACACGTAAGACGTTGCTTAATTGTAAATTTAAGTTGTTACGGTATGTTGTCAATCCAGGATGCGAAAATCATCGCACTTTGTGTTTCGATGAAATCGCGAACCTTTGAAAGGGCGCGGGCAATATTTAAAGGAGTGGAAAATTGACCATTTTTTGATTGAGAATTACAATTTTACGTCAATATTAAAATAAAAAATTGCAAGAATGTGAACTGTAAGAATATTAATATATCGCTTTTACCAAGCCAGCAGATTAAACACGAGGTGTCCCAGGTTTTAAGACCAGCCAACAGAAGCAAGTTATCTTTCTCAAAACAAAATATTTTCACTTTTGTTAAGTTTGTCCCTAAAAGGCCCCCGATTGGGGCTGCAAGCATTTTCAAAAGATTTATCTTTAAATTCCTCTATAGTCTCAAAAATATTGAAACCTCAAGTTGAAGGCGGAGATTTTGGGGAACGGGAGGAGTGATAGCAAGTGCGTGAACTAATCCTAAAGATTCCTGACCCCCCCCCCCCTTTCCCATTAAACCTGAGACGTCAATATGAATAATTGATAATAGATGTATTCCGTGCTAAAAATTATGGGTACAATTTTTTTTATGAATTTTGGTCCATTACCGTTTCCAAAACGCAGGAAAAATTGTGCTTCTCTCGCGGATATTTTAAGAAGCCGTAACTCCGCCTAAGGGTGTCACAGGAAGAAGAAGAAAAAAATTCTAAAGGAAAAGGTTAGGCCTAGGGTAAAGGTATGTATAATTCTAAAGGTACAAGGACCCATAAACCACGCTCCTGCATTCTGGCTGTTTAATAATGGGTTGCCAAGTATGTGTTTATTTAATTCAATTTTTTTACCGTCAACTTGAACATCCTCCGTGATATATCGGCCTGTAACAGGGATTCCAACGTGTCTAAGAGCCTCTTTGATTATCATCTCTGTGTATATAAGTTTGGAGAGCTCATTCAGCCTCACTTCTCCATCCACACAATTTTCCTTGATTTCTTGATAAGCTCGCTCCTGGATATCAGGAAACAGGGCCAGAAGTTTAAAAACCCACGCATTTGTAATTGCTGTTGTGATAGAGCCCTTTTAAAAAAGCATAGAATACATTTATTTTTGAGATGGAGAAAATAGCAATAAACGAATTATAAATTTGACACACATTTCTGACACATATAAAAATAATTCAGACACATTAAGAACTGTATAATATTTTTCTGAATGTACCGTTAAATGCTTGTTTACATCAGGCCAAAAGGAAAGTGCGTAGTTTCGCTTCAAATACTTATGTGACATAGATACAATGCAATAATAGCCAACGGTAACTTTCACAGTGACCATTTCACGCCAACTCTGTAATAACTGTGGATCTCAGTTGAAGATTATTAATGAGAGATGTATCCTATTTTTGTAGAGTAATTATTGGCAACTTTAATATCCTTTAACTAGATTTAAAAACGCTGGCACTTAAAATTCTCATTTTCTAATATAACAATTTTTTTCAAAGGGCAATTATTTTTAAAGAATAAGCGTTACCGGGCAAAAAACTGGTTATAATTTGAATTGAAAAAAATTTTTATAAATAAATTGCCAACACGACAAACCTCTTGCATTCCTCAGAAATTTGTGACGTATTTTTTACACATGCACGTACTTTTTTCCGAGTAAATTTTCGTGAGAAACGCAGTGAAGTGACTGATTTCTTCTGCGACAAAATTTGAGGCTGAGAAAAAAGCTCTAGAAATGAGGCTGTGATGGAGAGAATCCTCCACACCGTGCGAAAAGTTCACCAGTGGCGTGGCGTGAATTGCGATATATCGATTGTTATGTCATTTAAACCTATGGTAAAGAATTGATTATTAAGGTGTTCGCTGCGAACACCCTGTCTATCGATCCGTTTTCATAGGTTTAAATGGCATGGCAATCGACATATCGCAAAGCACGCCACTGAAGTTCTCTTCTGTATCCAGTGCCAGTCCAACTCTTCATGCAAACATAGTAATCAGATACATTAGCAGCGCTGCTTCTTTGCTTACGTACTTAGGAACACCAAGATTTGAACCACGCCAACCCTGCTGATATATTTGATTCATATTTTCATGAAGAGTTTGACCAGATATGGAGGAGGACTTTCAGCATTGCGTGAGGGGTCCTTTCCATTTCGGCCACAACTTCGACAGTTTCTTTGGTGCTTCGATGTTCGTTTCAGAAGAAATCAGTGGCATCATGGCGTCCATCAAATCACCTTTAAGAGCGCACTGCGCTCCATAGCAAACGCGCAATGCGTGAAGTATTTATACGGTCTTGTAGGCGCTTCAAGGCTCGTGCAAAACGCATGGTGTTTGGCGCAATGCGTGAAGTTTTCATTTAGTCTTGAAGGCGCTAATATGCGTGTCGCGCTGACCGCGCAATGGTTTGCTAGAAACATGATATCATGTTTCTAGCAAACATCTACTTACGAAAAGTATTTAAATCGCAAATCCTTGAAACGTGCAAGATCTCCATTCTGATAGGTATCGTCATATCAAATATTTAAATGTATTCTTTCTACCTAATTGCCTCTAAAATGTTTTCATAAAATTTCATTGATGAAAATGTTTTGATAGAAACGCTCTAAAAATATGTATTTCTATCCCTATGACATTAGGGATATTTGGGTTTCCTCTTTCCATCGTGTACCAGTTTTTGAATATGGTTTGATACTCACTGCAACGAAAATCTCGAATATCTCTGAAACAATTTGATCTTTCGTCAATACACCTGCATCCAAATTATCCAACAAACAGTCAATGTATATTCGTGAATTTTCTGAAATAATAGATGAGAATATTATGAATATTTCAATGAAAATACAAGTAGTATAAAGTCAATGATGAAAACTTAGAAGACGCAAGTGTTGATTTAAGCATAGCAGACGTCAACTCCCGGCTTATTTCTTTATAAGATAAGCAACTAATGATGTTGCATACAACTTGTTGAGAGTATTTGCGAACAGTTATTGTAGAATTATTATTCCCCTCCGGAGGAAAATTGGTGTACAACGTGGACGCTTTGTGAAAGCTTGGTGACAAGGAGTACATCAGAAGGTGTCAATGCTGACAATCTGTGGGAGGAAGAGGGGTTTTGGTGACTAGGTGTCGCAAGGTGAAGAAATTGCCATTTAAAAGCAGCTGCTTTGTACATGTCACAGGCAACTAGTCAACCCAGGCAATGGAGATGTTGCATGTGTGAGGAATTTGCGATTTGACAGTTGATTCTTATGTAAAAGTTCGCGAGACACGCGATGGTGCCACTGGTTTTCTCTGAAATCGACTCCCAAGCTCAAAAAAATCTCTCAAGTTGAGGCCAAAATGGAGGGGATATCCCACACTGTCCTGAGAGTCCACCTCTACATCAAGACAAACTCTCCACGCAAAGATAGGGAGCAAATACATTAGCAGGGTTGCCGTGTTTTCAGTTTTGGAGTCCCCAAATAAAGTGGCAGCCCTGTCAATGTATTCGCTCCCTATCTTTGCGCATGGAGAGTTTTGTCTTGATGTAGACGTGGACTCTCAGGGTAGGGTGGAATATCCCCTCCATTTCGGCCTCAACTTGAGAGCTTTTTTTGAGCTTGGGAGTTGATTTCAGAGAAAACCAGTGGCACCATCGTGTTTCTCGCGAACTCTCACATAGAAATCAACAGTCAAATCGCAAATTCCTCACACATGCAACATCTCCATTCATCAAATTCCTAGGCAGCAAATAGCTGAATTATGATGGTTTGCGAAAGTTTGTAAATTTGTAGCGAGGGGCTCACGAGCTTTCAATATTTTGGGAAAAATAATCAAATCCACGAAATCGCCTCGTTCCTTCCTCTTCAAATTCTTCTCATGTATTCAATGTTAAATTTTAAAAATTCTGTAATTTATGACATGCTGAATATTTCCGGATAATTGTTTGTTCAGGAGCCAAAAATTGTTTCTAATACTGTTGCATGATTCACACTATCACAGAGCATAGGAGCCCTGAAATACGTCGTCTAAAATTAGGAAAAGAATCAGAACTTCAATCTAAGTAAGAAAATTTGATTATTTGCCTAAGTATTTTACCAAATGGCTGATGTCACTATTTTCCTGCGACGTATATACGTTGATTCCATACACTTTGAATTTAAAAAAGTGTAAAAAATAACCAATCTATGCTTAACAATTCCATTTCAGTTCCATGAGATAGCTCTTTTTCTTCTTCTCATAATAATCTAACAACTTGCATGAACAAATTATTCTTCTGTGGAATGCTTATTGAATAAACAAGAGGGTACCCTCATCAAGTTTGCTAATCGTCTTCCTTGTGGTATTTACCTGAAAATGTTTACTGGTCAAAAAATATCACCCTACCTCTCTTACTGTTTAAAATGTATACGTACCGGAATGCTGACTCCCTTTAAGGAGTGCTTTCCGTTTCCTTATTCGCTGCTCTATCATCTGAAATACAGCAATAATATTTTTCATTACTTCCAAAACACTAAACAATTGCATTACTGAGACTGAACAAAACCACTAAGATTCTTGAGCCGGGTTATTTTTCCTTTTTTACCATTTAACAGAACTCTTACCTCCCTGCTCATATCCAAGAATGGATTGCAAGTAGAATTTAATACTAATGCAAGTTCAATTTCGACCTAAGCCTGTCTGGTAAGTATAATTGAGCGAAAAAATCGGGGGAGATAAGTAAAAGCGGGAGCATGCACTCGCAAAATAATTGTTGATGCTGATGACAGAGCCCTCTGTTCACAGGGCTCCTGCACTTTCTTTGTTTTAATACTTACAGAACTTTTCTGTTGTGAGAACAGAACTTCGGTCGTGAACACAGAGTACTCCGTCCTTATAACGGAAACTTCTGCAGCGGTAACAAAGAGAGTGCAGGAGCGCTATGAACAGAACTATTTTTCAGGGCATCAAAATAATATGGAAAATAATTCTGACTTAACTTATGGATATAAGTAGGAAATAACATAGCAGTTCTTTTCGTGATCAATCGTAATTGATGAAAATTGTTTAGAAAATTAATGAAATACTATTTCTTTGTTGAAATAGAGTAATATTTTTGCGGTCATCAAATTAGCTTCCTACCCAAAAATATCTTGAAGATTCAAAATATGTAATGTAAAACTTTCATACATGGTTTAGCAAAAAAATCCGAGTGACCGTCTCACCTCGTAAATTAGGTTCTGATTTATATTAATTAATTTGTTTCTTGCGTTTCCCTGTCCTGACAACGTGTAGTAAAAATCAGGCCAGAAAGAAAATGTTCTTTCAAAAGTCATCTCCGCCCATCTGTGAAAAAAATACAACATTTAATTTTTAAAGAATAATCCTACCCTCTAAGATATAAGACTTTTTTAGGTGAATGATTGAGATGGGCCTCTGAGGTCCTCCTACAAAATGCAGTGGATTTTTGCCTTTCATGGACTATTTGAGACTTCCTTTTGTTAATAATTTTGACAAACGATACAGTTCCTGCAAAAAGATGGGTATGCAAACAAGTACAGTCATAAAGTTACTACTGTTGCATGACTTGTTTTTTGTAGGATCTGCTTAAAACCTATTTGTTTAGTTATTGACCTGGATCACACTTGTTGTTAGATGGAACTGAGCAGTGGTGTCAGTAGCCATGTTTGTAGACGAGCAACTCGTCAAGTTTGAAATTGGGGGGGGGGGGGACTTTTTTTTTTTTTTTAAATGGGCACTTTTACCGTGAATCCGCCAAAGCGTTACCTGTTTTCCCTCGTATATATACTCCTCCCCACCCATCTTCCTTATTTTGTTCTCTCCCCCTATTCTTCGTTTATTCCCCCCCCCCATTTCCTTTTCTTCCCGATCTTTCAATCCCCCCCCATATTTTGTTCTCTCCCCCCCAGTTTCCTTTTCTCCCCTATCCTTCATTCCCCCCCATATTTTGTTCTCCCCCCCAGTTTCCTTTTCTCCCACTATTCTTATTCTCTCCCCCATTTTCCTTTTCTCCCGATCCTTCATCCCCCATATTTTGCTCTCTCCCCCGCTTTTCTTTCTTTTCTCTCCTTCACGATTTTTCTTATCCCTTCATCTTTCTTGCCCGTTTGTTTTATTTTTATTTTTTTCAAGGGGGGCTTTTACATGCAAGACACTGCTACTGTTAGTTCTAATCGTAAGCATCATTTTCTGGATTTTAAGAGGAAAGCTCATTTAATGTCAAGAAAAATAATAATGTTACTACACGTAGCTCACGAAAGGTTGAGGGGACCTTTAGTCGAGGTAAGGGGGGCTCACTTGTGGTAGGGGGGGAGCTCAGTCGAGTTAGGATCGAACTTGCTTACGGAAAGGGAGCAGCCTAGTCAAATTTATGTTAGATGAAGACCATGGAAATAGCTTCTGATAAAATTTAAGGAGGGTGTCGTCGGTAAGGATTGGAAAGGGATAGCCCAAAGTTGGGGGGGAGGTTTTATTCAAAATAAAAAGAGAAACTTCCGGCATCGTTAATGGGAGATTTTAATGAACCTTTGAGGGGACCCTTTTAATTCCACGAATGAAATAATTTTTTACTTATTTATTTTTTGTAATGGAAATAAAATTGCTCAATGTATCTGTATGGAGAAGGCATCCATAAATATTCATCCTTACCTAAGTTTTTTTTTTAAAAAAAAATTATATATATTTACACCGAAAACTACGCAAATTTCTGCAGTGGAATCGGAGACAAAACTGCTGACTATAGCTTCAAATTGCTTCTAGAGAGTATCAAATTTTCAAAATTTTTCGGGGGAGACCCCCCGGACCCCCCGTCGAGGGAGCGGGCCGCCCGGAAATTCGCGGCTGTTTAAGGGGGGGTGAAAAGTAATAAAATAGGGGGGAACTCGTCAAGTACCTAGGGGAGGAGTGACACCACTGGAACTGAGAATTGAAAAGAGTAACTTTTAGTGTTTCATAAGTATTATAACTGTCACGTAATGAATTATTTAAAAAAATATAAATTACTCATTACCTAGCAACTGCCTTCACGTTTTAAGTTTTTTACTGACCACAATCTCAGCTCGTGCTTTCACTGAATCACTGCAGCTGAATCTAATGAACATCAAAACAAATGAGTCTTACAATGAAGATGTTGCATGTGTGAGGGATTTGCGATTTGACCATTGATTCTTGTGTAAAAGTTCGCGGGAAACACGATGGTGCCTCTGGTTTTCTCTGAAATCATATCCCAAGCTCAAAAAAAGCTCTCAAAGTGAGGCCAAAATGGAGGGTATTTCCCACCCTACCCTAAGAGTCCACCTCTACATCAAAACAAACTCTCCATACATAGATAGGGAGCAAATACAGTAGCAGTGTTGCCACTTTATTTGGGGACTCCAAAACTGAAAACACAGCAACCCTGCTACTGTATTTGCTCCCTATCTTTGCATGGAGAGTTTGTTTTGATGTAGAGCCGGACTCTCAGGGTAGGGTGGGATATCCCCTCCATTTTGGTCTCACTTTGAGAGCTTTTTTTGAGCTTGAGAGATGATTTCAGAGAAAACCAGTGGCACCATCGTGTTTCCCGCGAACTTTTACACAAGAATCATTGGTCAAATTGCAAATCCCTCACACATGCAACATCTCCATTGACTAATTTTAGCAGTTGTATACCGAAGAGTTATTTTAGCTGCTTTTGTCAGGTTCAGCTACAGGTGGCTAAGCGGCCATGTGGTGAAGTGCCTTTTCATCAGTTTTACTCGGGAAGACTTGACGAAGATTTTCTAATATTTGGTTAGGTCAGGTTGAGATTTAGAAAATATTGAACTTACTCTGTTACAGAATTACACATCAAGGTTGAACGATTTTCTTGATTGCATAACCGAGCTCCAAGCATGTTATCTGAAATAAAAGGTATAATCCGCTTTCATAAATTAATGCCACTAATATGCCCACAATTTGAACTGTTACATAAGAAATCTCCGTGATTGATGTGATTTAAGCTTTAAACAAATGAAGAAAATAAAAAATAACATGTAAAATAGCGGACGGACACGCTTAGGAAACGTTCAGGGACTGACAACTTTTCATGGGACTTGAGTGGGACTTTGCACTTGAGTGAGTTAAGTGCGTTTACCGCAATCAGTTTGTGTTGTATCTTAAGGTCCAGTTACACGATCAAATTGAGCCATCAAATTGGGCCTCTCATTGGTCGCATCCTCACCTAAGGTCTTTTTCCGCCAATCAGAGCCTCAATTTGATGGCTCAATTTGGTCGTGTGACTGGACCATTAAAAAAGTTTCTTGCTTTTTGAGGCGACACACGTCAAGATGACAAAACACCCTCGTATATTCTGCCGTGCCGAGGAAGAACGCCGTATGGACATCCGAGAGTTGCCAAATTTCCTTCCATAAAAGGTTTATTTTTGAGGAAAGTTATGAGTATTTTTCCGATACATTTTCAAGAAATTTAGGTAAAATTGCGAACAAAATTATCTAAGAAATTGGAAAAAAAATATTTACAAATTCTCCCGGAAATTCGTGAATCACCGAAAGAAATTTGGCAACGCCTAAAGGTTCAATACGGCGCTCTTCCTCAGCACGGCAGTATCGGTGGTTAAAGTTAAAAAAAAAACGAGTAACTCCGAGTGTGTGTGTGTGTACTTACCGCAAATCATGTCTAAAGTGCGCAGATGGACAGGAACGAATATATCAAACCAGTCATCGCTGACATGCTGCTGTAGCTGGTTGACGAAAATTTTGACATGGTGGTAAAGATTATCGTCAAACTGCATCAAAACGTTGGTCCGAAAAGCTGGATTCACGATATTGCGAAGAATGCGCCACTCGGTTCCTAGAGCAAAATGGACGTATTTCTGGCAAACGGAACTATGTGCATTAAGAGATGAGCCCTGAGACCCATAAGAATAAATGCATAACAGGGCTCACGTCATAATGCACATAGTTCCGTTCGGCAGAAATACGTCCAAATGATATATTTGTTGTTCATTATTTTGGTAGAATTTTCGTTGTATACTCCTATGCTGCCGTGATAGGGGAGAACGCCGTATATACATTCGAGAGTTGCCAATTTTCCCCGGATAAAAAATGCATCTTTCAGGAAAGTTGCGCATAATTTTTTTTTGAAATTTTGAGATATGTTAGATTGATGTGTGCACAAAATTGTCCGAAAACTTCGAGGAAAAATATCCAAAAGTTTCCTTGAAAATTCGTATTTTATCAAAGGAACTTCGGCAACGTCTGAGGGTTCATACGGCGTCTTTCCTTCACGGTGGTATGGTTAGCGTCAGTGTCCGAAACTCACCTTAGAGTTTCAGGAGCCATATGCCGCATCCAGCTCAATTTTTAGGGGCCAAATTGACTTTTTCCCTGTAGCACGGCGTATATAGTGAATAGTTAGACGTAAGATGTTTTAGTTACAGAACTATTACCTATAACTTGGGGCAAATGTCGAAAAATCACCAAACAGAAAAATTAGGATTTTTTTTATTTTGGGGGGGGGGGGGAA